ATGGTGACTGACAACAACAACAACAACGTGTCTCATTGCTAGATAATTGAGTTGCAACATGCCTCTAGTTCCATTTCATGTGCATTTTACATTATCTTTAAGTTCTAAAACCAAAATATTATTTTCCTGTACACTCAATAACAGAATAATTTCAACACTCCTTCAGATCATGCTTTCCGTGAAAATAGACTATTGGTCTGTGTACCTAAAGGGTCAGTTGAGAGAATGGATACATATGGATTCCTGGAATCCTTTTTCCATATCAGGTCTGGTCTGGGATGGCTAACACCTCAGGCTAATTTTTAATAATTTTACTATTCCATGAACATTAAATGGAACTAATTGGAACCAAAGGATGATTACGGCCCTCAAAAGATTATCTATACAAGAGCACATATGGAGTTAAAGTATGGATAAGCTGATGGCTATTAGAAATAACATTAATATTTTTATTTCTGGTCATTTGAGTACGTATTTACTGTGAAGCTTTCCCTCTAACAAGGAATTCATTGGCAATTTTTCTGCTATGTAAATTTCATACTTATTTGCACATAGTAAGTACTCAATACATATCTGTTATTATCAGTGAATATATGTGGCTATGTATCAAAAGAACTGTATAAATGAAAGAACTCAAGAAAAACATTCAAATCTCAAGTTGTAATATTGAAGGATTCTATGCAAAGATGTTGAATGCTTTAGGAAGCATCAGAAGAGAATAGGAATGACAGCAGTACAGCTACGCCCAAAAGAATTGATTGCCATCCAGCCATTTCAAGAGGTAGCATAGGGTCAAGACGTACGTGACCACAAGTGAGGAACAAGACTTCAAGAATGGACTCCATACTAGTGGAGATGGTACAATGAGTGGATGTACACTGGAACACTCATACATCTGTGCCACGAAGTTTGGGAGACATGGCCAACCAACGGAAAGATAGTCATATCTGAGCCCATTCCAATGGAAGGTAACCCAATAGAAAGGGGAGATCAGTTAATAATATAATATGCAAGTCGAATATTGCAAATAATTCCAAATCGGTTGCAGCAGTATATTGGCAAGCTAAAATCAGAAGAAGACATGGAAGGAGGCATACCATTATTGACATCACATTGATCTTGACTGAAAGCAGAGCTTGCCGGAAAGATAGTTAATGTGCTTTATCATCTATCCAAAGGCACTCACCTGTGTGGATCATAACAAACTATGAATATCATTGTGCAGGATGAGAAGCCCAGGCATTTCATTTTTGTTACACAGAACCTGTACATGAACTTCGTCGGGAGAATTACCACAAAATTATACTGTTGAGAAAAATGGAATTTTATGTGTCATAGGAGGCACACAAAAAAGAGATGCAAAAAGGCTTGACACACCACCAAAGCTATGTCCCACCTAATCTGAAAAGCCATACAGAACTTGCTTTTGTAGACAGAGTTGGCCATGGTTCGGCTCATAGAACAAATGAGAGAAACATAAATAGTGTTTCCGTAAAACCTTTATCAAAGGTAGTATAATAAATAAAGACAGTCAAGAGGGGTCATTTGCTGGTCCACCAAGCCAGAATTGGGGAGTGCAAAGGAGATGGCTCTCTTATTTGAAAATCTTTGTCTTGAGGGGAGAACTTCCTTAAGTTGACCCTTTCTCCTTCATCTATCTATTCTTTGTGTATGTTCGTTCTCCGCCTATTCATCTAGTCAGTGTGTATGTCCCTCCTTCATCAATCTGTCCTCTTTCCTGCCTTTCCATGCCACCAAGGACATTGCTCGGGGCCACTGGCCCTTCCCTGTCTCTTTAGGACTTCTCCTTGACAGCTTCCTGGGTAGAAAGTGAATGTGGGTTCCTCAAGATAGTGTTATGGCTCTTTAAAGGGTTAGGATGACACCGGGCTCTGTCAGGGTTGCCTTTACTTTTCGGCACTAACTTAGAATGACGAGGCAGTTATATAACAGTATAATGGAATGCTGCATGGTCTAAAATCAGGAAGATTTGACATTGAGGATTTCACTAGTATATTTACTCAACCTGCTAGCATGTTTCTGTGACCAGCGAACAACTGCAGACAAGTAATATATTTGTCTTCGTCTCAATGGGCTCCCTTAAAAAAAGTCCATGAAAATAAGGACTTCTTGAGGATCTACTGGGCCAGTAACTTCAAACCTAGAGTCAGTTCACTCAGAAAGTTTTGTAGATTGTTTTGGGATGCCAACATGGCAATCTCAATTTTCTTGTGGAATTCGCTGGGGGATTATTAAAGAAAGCTTTATAAGAAAGGGAAAAACTGCATTGGTTTAAAACAAATTCCACAAAAGTTGTGTTAAGGAATTTTTTCTCACCAAACAACGGACCAAACAACGCTTTTTTTTTTTCTCTCACCAAACAATGCTTATTCTTAGAGGGAAATACAGGTGATCCTTTGAAAATTTCAGCCAGCCTGTTGATCTTATCTTGTCCTTTAAGACTTCTTTTTGTTCCTAAAACTCAATGGACATGGAAAGGGAACACATTTTAAGTCCCTTTGGCATATTTATATATATATAGTGTTTTCAAAAAGTTCATAGGAAAATGGCATTAAAAGACAATGAAAAATTCCCCAGATCTTTCTGAATCCTCA